ATAAACAATATACCAAGATGCTTGACTTGACAGGTAATTCGTCTTTGATTGATTTTACTACAACCATGAATTATAAGAGAATAATATATGTAATGTATTAACTATTTTTTCACTTACCATTATTTCGACTATATTATTTATTCTGCATTGGACTTTTTCATATAGGGATTGATGTGAACAGTGAGAATTCAGTGCTTTCAACCGTTACTGCGTTCAGTGATGAAAACTATATATCATGGTATCATTATACCTGTGAATACTTTTTTGGGAACACTATGTTGTAATTAAATATTTTTACATGCACCTCCTTCGTTGACGTCATATAAATTCATTAAAGCCTTTTTTTTATATGTGACATACAATGTAGTTCCCCATATGATAACGGTACAAGTACGACTTCAGCTGATTTGGATCAACAAAGTGAGTTTAAACACCTAACACTGTTTGTATTGGATTTTTAAAATGCAAGCACAAATGCTTCTATACGAATGGTAACTGGAAAAAAATAATAGTAAATTAATTATTTTGAGCGTTGTTTATTCTCTAAATTTATTATTTCCAATTTTCTATTGTTTAATTGCAAATTAAATGTCTAAATGATAAATGTTATACTCACCGATTTTTTACATAGCATATTCAAGAACAGTTGTTTACGACTTATACTGGTGCGCATTTGCTTAATTAAATGCGCTGGGAATAAATTTATTTATATTAGAATGTCTTTTATTATTTTCGTTACCTCTTGCTTTGTGTTACAGATACTGATAACAATGAATAAGAGAACATGATGGGCTCTCTTTCTAACGATTTTAAATTTTCAGATATTAAATCACAACTCTTTGTTCGTGATGGGCTCTCTTTTTAGTTTTTTTTATTACGTTTTCCTGTTGTGTTATATATATGGATATGGATGATTCCAATGTGCCATTTTTTTATCTTTTACAGATCATCTTGGAGAATATTTGTCTGCAACTTATACTCAATATGGTGAGCACAAATCCGATTATCATGAAAAAAAAATTGTGTTCACATTTTTCCTTCACCTCCTTTGGAGCAAAAGTGGATGGATCAGTAAATCAAGGTTCTGGCCCTTACTGTTTTAGAGTTGGGGGGAGAGTTCATCATTTAATTGGCAGTCTTCTGCCTGCTGATAGTCAGTCTCCAAAATTTGCTCAACTTTATATTTACGACACTGAGCATGAAGTGGACAACAGACTTGGTTGTCTAAGGTATATTTTTTTTTTGACCCAATTCTCATGTTTCATATGTGGAGTATCTTTTTATGTTGAGTAATATGAATGACAATTTTTTTATTTATTAAATTTGCAGTTCCACCAGTACTGAAGATATGCTTGATCCTGAAATTATCTGATTATTGAAGGAGATGTTCGATAAGCACAACAGTATAGCTCAGTCTTTCAGGTACGCTAGAGACCGTTATAAGGAAGATGACTTTAATGTGTAAAGTTGAGGCTTATCCGAAGGCGTGGTAATGATGGAAGAGTTTATAATCTTCCGACAGCATCCGAAGTGGCAGCTTTGATTGTTGGAGATATAGACAGTGCTATGGGCGATAGGGATATCATTATTGAAACACAAGATAGAGTATTGCAGCGCATCGATGTGAAGCATCCATTATATCTTGGCTTGCAGTATCCATTGTTATTTCCATATGGTGAAGACGGTTATCGTGATGATGTCCAGCGTACTGTATCCAGTGGTAGGAAAAATGCAAGAGCCATGATCAGCATGAAGGAATTTTTTTCGTTTAGACTTCAGATGCGATCTGGAGAATCATAAATTCTACATCGATCAAGGAAACTTTTCCAACAATTTCTGGTTGATGCATACACTATGATTGAGTTTGAACGGCTTAATTTCATTCGATATAACCAGAGTCATCTGAGAGCTGAGTTGTACAAAAATATAAAACATTCATTAGATAGCGGTGAAGATGCAGCACTGAGCACTGGAAAACGTATCATTATACCTTCTTCATTCACAGGCGGACCTAGATATATGGCTGAAAATTGTAAAGATGCTTTCGCAATTTGCCGTTGGGCAGGATATCCTCATCTTTTTATAACAATTTCCTGCAATCCTAAGTGGCCAGAAATTACACGATTTGTTAGGGCCAGACAGCTGAACCCTGAAGATCGGCCTGATATTCTATGCAGAGTCTTCAAGTTCAAATTGGACCAGTTGCTACATGATTTAAAAAAGGAAAATATTCTTGGCAGAGTCATTGCATGTAAGTATATTATAAACTTGATACTCTTTTTGTTAACTGGATTTTATACAAAAAAATTTACGTCATGCATTGAATCTTTCTATAACGTTGTTGTATTCTTATTATTACTTATGTTATATTCTTTGAATGTAACAGATGTTTGTACAATCGAATTCCAAAAGCGCGAACTACCTCATGCTTATATTCTTCTATTCTTGAACCCTTCAAGCAAAGCTGAAAGTGCTCTTGATATTGATAAATTGATTTCAGCGAAGATACCTGACAAGGAAACGAATCCTACGCTGTTTATGGCTGTCACGAGTTACATGATACATGGTCCATGTGGTCCTGAAAATTACAAATCTCCTTGCATGAAGGACAGACGGTGTTCAAAAAAATTTCCAAAAAACTTCTGCTCCCGTACTTTGATTGACGATGATGGATTTCCTCATTATAAGAGAAGAAATGATGGGAGAGTTGTGAACAAAAATGGTGTTGAACTTGATAATCGTTATGTTGTGCCCTATAATGCACACCTTCTTTTAAAGTACCAGGCTCATATCAACGTTGAATATACTTGCCAGAGAAATGCCATTAAATATCTTTTTAAATACATCCACAAAGGGAATGACAGAGTGATAGCTGCCATAAATCATTCGGACGATGAAATAAAAATGTTTTATGACTGCAGGTACTAAAAATAATCTCCATTGTGTTTTGCTTTCCTACAAAATTGGCACAATTTTTTTGAGAAATTATTAACTTAAATGTTCACCGATTTATTTATTTATGATAGGTATGTCTCCGCATGTGAAGCAGCTTGGAGAATATTTGGATTTGACATTCATTCGAGATATCCCCTGTTCAGAGATTGCCATTTCACTTGCCTAATGAAAAGAACATTATTTTCAGTGATAATGATTCGTTGTATGATGTAAAGACAAGGGCGGAGTCTAGACTGTCAATTTTTGAGTCTTGGATGGATGCAAATAAAAAATATCCAGAAGGTAGGCATCTAACTTATGGAGAGTACCCGACTGAATTTGTTTTCAAAGAAAAAACGCATGAATGGAATCCGAGAAAAAAGGGATTTTCCATTGGAAGGATAAATCGTTTTTCTGCCAATAATGGAGAAGATTCATATCTTCGCACCTTGCTTAATTTTCAAAGAGGTTGCACCAGTTATGAAGATCTTAGAACGATCAATGGCGTAGTTTTTCCTACATTTAAGGATGCGTGCTATTCTTTAGGACTTCTGGATGATGACAATGAGTACATTGATGCAATTAAGGAGGCAAGTTCCTGGGGATCTATTGCTTATCTTAGATGTCTGTTTGCTCTGTTGTTATTTGCCAACTCAATGAACAGACCTGAAAAAGTTTGGGAAAAGTGTTGGAAATTTTTATCCGACGATGTTGTTTATCGGCATAGGAAAAGAATAGGACGTCAAGGTACGTGTTATAATAATATTTCATACAATTTTTTTTTTGTTTAACCGAAATCAGCATATGCTGCCTTAGTACTTATTAGCTTTTTTTGCCCGTATTCAGCAAATGTTGCTTTAGTGCTTATTTTGTTTTTTTTTTCCCGCATTCAGCAAATGATGCTTTAGTACTTATTTCGCTCTCTTTTCTTTCTTTGATTACTTTATCTTTGTTAATTTTTTAATTTTTTTTCCTTTGAATTTTATGCTTTGTCAGATGCAATTCTTACAGAAGAGTCTATAAAAAACATAACTCTTGAAGAAATTGATAAGGTACTGCAGAGCAATGGGAAATGCCTCTCTGATTATCCGTCAATGCCACGCATCAATAGTGAAACTTTGCTTGATGTGCAAAATTGATTAGTGTTGGATGAATTAATGTATGACAGATTTGCTTTGGAAGAGGAGCATAAAAGACTAATTAATTCCCTCACTGATGAGCAGAAAGCTGTTTATGATAAAATTGTTTCAGCAGTTACGGCAGGTAATGGAGGGTTATTTTTCCTATACGGGTTCGGTGGTACAGGAAAAACATTTATTTGGAATACTCTTTCAGCATCTATTAGATCAAAAGCTGGAATCGTACTTAATGTTGCTTCTAGCGAAATTGCTTCCCTTCTGCTTCCTGGAGGACGAACAACGCATTCTAGATTTCGTATTCCTATTCAAATCAATGAAGATTCAACGTGTAATATAAGGCCGAAATCTACTATAGCTGAGTTGCTGTCAAAAACAAAGTTAATCATTTGGGATGAAGCTCCAATGGTACATAGATTTTTCTTTAAGGCTCTGGATAGGACACTGAGAGATGTTCTTAGAATTTCTGATACAAGCTGTGCTGATATGCCATTTGGTGGAAAAGTTGTTGTTCTAGGAGGTGACTTTCGGGAAATATTACCTGTCATTCCTCATGGCAGCAGACAAGATATAGTTCATGCAACCATCAATTCTTCTCATCTATGGTCCCATTGTCATTTATTAACTTTGACCAAGAACATGCGTCTTAATTCTGGAAGTAGCGCTCACAATTTAGAGGAAATAAAAGAATTTTCTGAGTGGCTACTTAAAGTTGGGGATGGTAATCTTGGAGATGATGTTGATGGAGAATCTATTATAACAATTCCAGATGAATTGTTGATTAGAGAATCGGAAGATCCGCTGTTGGATATGGTTAATTTTGTTTATCCGAATCTCTTGGATAATATTTTGGATCAGACCTTCTTTAAAGAACGTGCTATTCTAACTCCTAAATTGTCCGATGTTGCTATGCTAAACGAGCACCTAATGTCTATGATTCCTGGTGAAGAAAGGACTTTTTTGAGTTCGGATAAAATTCTTAAGCAAGGTGGGACTTCCTCTGTTGAGGATGATGAAATCACCCCTGAGATCTTAAATACATTATCATGCTCAGGGATTCCTGATAATAAATTAATCTTGAAAGTTAAAGTTCCAGCAATGCTATTAAGAAATATTGATCAGTCGAGAGGTTTATGCAATGGCACGAGATTGCTTATTACAAAATTAGGGAATCATGTTGTTGAGGCAATTGTACTTACAGGAAGCAATATAGGGGAAACTGTGTTAATCCCTAGAATGACGATGAGCCCATCGAGTCATACATTTCCTGTAAATTTCCAAAGAAGACAATTCCCCCTGATTGTATCGTTTGCCATGACTATCAACAAGAGTCAAGGACAATCACTTTCACATGTTGCAATTTATCTCCCTAAGCCTGTCTTCACTCATGGGCAATTATATGTGGCACTGTCTAGAGTAAAGAGTAAGCATGGATTGAAGATATTGATACTTGATGAAAATGGCTGCGTTACGAATAGTACCCTTAATATAGTTTACAAGGAAGTATTTCAAAGACTGCTATAGTATATTGGGTTCTTTCTTCAAAGATATAACTTCGTTGTATGGTACAGGTAAAGACAAAAAAAATGATTGTTTATTCGCGTCTCTTTTCCTTATCTATCTTCAAAGATATGACCTTTATTATCCTATTTTCTTTCCTATTTTTAATGTAACAATGAATGACTGTTTTGTTATTTAAAAAAATGATTGTTTGGGACCTTTGAAATACTGACAAAATGAGTTCGGCCCGGAGGGCCGACCCACCATGCCAAACAAACCAATTTTTTTCCCGTGCATCGGCACGGGTAATTCACTAGTATATATATATATTGGTAGACTGTATCGTGTGTATATTAATATGGAAAGAACCATGTGTGTTTGCAAATATTGTGTAAATAATCTGTAAATATTTTAGTTTACTTTTTTCTAGGATAATTCCTTCTATAGTTTCCTAATTTTGCCTATTGACTTTTATATATATATATATATGGAGTTTACATTTTTGTAGCTGCTATACGTGCAGCAATCAAATACTTGCTATATATATACTTGAAAGCATTAAATGCTGGAAATCATAACCATACAAAGGATGAAAGCATTAAATGTGGGGAATCATAACCATACACCTGTCGTTGCTGTACGTAAAGCGGCTGCAGAAATGATTATATATATATATATATGTGTGTGTGTGTGCATGATACATGCACGGTAACTAGGGGTGCTAAACGAGTCAGGGGCCTTACAGGGGCCTTTGGCTCGGCTCGTGAAGGCCTGAGCTTACATATCCAAAATTGATTGTTGGACTCAGGCTTAGACTTGTATAAAAGCTCGTTTAATAAAAAGGCCTCAGGCTCCAGTTTAAAAGCTCGGCCTAAGAGCCTCTCAGGCTTGCCTAATATATTAATTTTTTATATTTTTTATACTACTTGTGATAGCTCTCTCTCTCTCTTATCAATCCATTTCATCTCATTTTATTAATTAAACAGATTTTTTGAATGATTTTATTTTATATTATGCTATTTGGATATACATTAAATTTATGAATATTTATGGAATTACTAGTGTTGTTGATTGTATATTTTGTTTGAATAAATTTTTGTTGTCTTATTTTTTTTAAACAGACTAACAGGCTAAACCAGGCTTTTATTTTTTGTAAATAAGACAGACCACAGGCTGAAATTATATTCATGACAGATAACAGGCTTGGTCAGACTGACACATTTAAATACAGACTTAGCCTTTTAAGACCAAAGCTCAGCTCGGCTCGACCCGTTAACACCTCTAATTGTAACACTCCGTTTTAGAACTAATTTGTTAATATACATTATGATATTAAGCGTAATAATAATCAGGGTAAATAAACGTGGAATTACGTATAAATTTTTCCTTTAGATACAATAGCTAATAATGCATCAACTTATCTCAAATATGCATAACAAGTTTTTATACAACTAGGGGAAACAACCATCTATGCATCAAATGAGCCTAAGCGACAAACTCATCACAAGAGGGTTTGACGTCATATCTCAACTAAAACCTTAAAATATTAGGTTTGTTGGTCTTTTCACTTATATGTACCATACTTAGCTTCTTTCTTTCTCATGTGAGATTTTTTATCACTGACACTTGAATTCTCAACAATATTAAATAGATAAAGTAATGCTCTAATATCATCAATAAAAAGTCATAGTACATAATATCATCTAACTAATTAAATTATTTCTAGAACACCTATTTTTTAACTTGAACGCCGTTGACTCGAATATGATCTAACGGTGTATAATTGACAGTAAGGGTAATAAGATTAAAGTGGTAGTTTTACCATTATTTTTTAGACATTTATTTTTTTTAAGGTATATAATTTTTATGCGAAGTGTTCAATATATACATGGGAAATACTTTTCTTATGTTGTAGGAAAAAAGTTACTTCATGTTGTAGAAATAAAATTATAAATGGGACCCACAGGTAAGAGAAGAGAAAAAGAGAGAGTGATGAGACCTAATACTTTTTTGTGTGTGTATGAAAGTTGTTTATCTCATGTAAAATGAGATAAACATAACCCTATATATATATATATATATATATATATATATATATTTGGAGGATACCATAATTCACCAAGTAATATATGGAAGCGGGGGCCATAGCTAATTAAACAAACCAAATGAAAAACTCGAAAAAAGTTATACTTTTGTGTGGTTTTTGCCTTATATTTATCATATATTTATCATCCAGTTTTCAGGCTATTTAATTAGTATAATCACCCATTGTATTGAGTATATATTATAATTCAGCCGTTCAGCACAAAGCTTTTCTATCACGTCTTCTGATAATAAAATAATTCCCTCTTTAGTGGTTCTCATTTTGGCTGATCTGGAGCATCTGGGATTTGTCCGCCATTTGCTTTTATGCTAGCTAAGACTAATTAAGACGTAGTTTGATGAATTAATACGAACAAGGCATTGGTATTAAACAATGAGAAATCAATAAGATATATCTCTACACAGCATGGCTTATTATCAAAATTCAAAAACTAGATGCCTAGGCATCGCAGTGTCTCGAGATTGTGTAGCGTACATTCAATATGCACAAGAAAAAAAAATCCAAACCCCATGATACGCTTTTTGATCATTTCCGACAGTTTTTTTTTGTAGTAATGTCTTTTTATACGATTTGGGGCATGCCAAAGAAAAAAAACGAAAAAAAGAAAAAGAAAGAAACAGTCGTGTATAGTTAAGGATGAGCCAAATTAGTTCGATAATATTTGTATTTTAAAGGGAAAAAAATAAAGGAATATGAAAGGAAAAATATTGTATAAAACATCATTTTTAAAGTTTTATTAATTTGTTCAAATATCCTTCAATATTTTTACAATCGTATAGTCAAGATGCATTCCTGAAAGAAGTAAATACTTATTGTTTAAATGAGCATTATGATTTCATGACAATCAATTCATCAATATATAGTTTGTTCAACGAAAAAAAAAGAAAAAAGACACGGATCAATGTTTTTTCAAGTTAATAAGCTCAGATTTTCTGTAACTAATTAAGTATAATTTCCAGATAAAAATGTACCATCTCTTTTGCGTAGAGATATCAGGTTGCGTGCATCTCTATTCGATTATAAATGGGATTTTCTAATTTGGGTTTAATCATAGGGTTCCTCGTTTATGTCGCTGCAAATGGAAAAAGTTACAGCAAACTTATTAACACTAGGATACGGAACTATATCCTGAAATAAAAATAAAATAAAATTCCAGGAGACAAAATTGTATCCTGATAAAAATAAGTGTTGCTGTAAATTTTTTGATCTGTAGCAACAGAAGCTGTTAAACCCTTAATTATAAATAGTTTCTCTTACTTATCCCAATGAGAATCAAGTTAAGCGATTTTTCAGAAAATAAGTATAAGTTAGTTAATTTTAATTAATTAAATAAAAAAAGATAAAGGAAATCAACTAAACAATTTAAAACAGACTAATCAAAGAACTCAAAGACAACAAAAGTGTATGGACAACATAGGAAACTTCATCGATCAAGCACCTGGCCCACGCAATACAACAAGAGGACACACAAGGAACATGCTCTTAAACCCTGGACTTCTTGATTAACCCTACAAAACGATAAGGATTGATTATGATATTTCAAGATTGTTATGATTCGTATCAATCGATACATGGTGCTGCACCCAGGTTGTCGAAGCATTTGGCATGGAAGAGTTTTCGTCAATTCTTAAACTTTATAAATCGAATTTCATTGTAATTTTTTTTTTAATGGTTTATATATAATAACATATTCCATGGTATGCCTACAACTATAACTTTTTGATTAGTCGAATAGATACCGGGTTAAATCACACGCGGTTTGGCCCAGTCAAATATTCAACTGGCTTTCTATTGGAGTGGTTGTAATTGAGAGAGGGATAGAGAATCTTGTGCTGGATGGTATTATTTAGCTAGGACAAATGTGGAGGGTACTTGCAATGCATTTTATCGCTCAAGTCAGTATATGATAAATGAATTTTAGTAAAGATGGATTAGATTATCATATCTGAGCTTCAAGGCTCTGCTATATATAGTAATTGGTTGTTCTGCTTATGCTTCTTTAATATGATGACATTTAATCTCGTTAATGGGAAGAAGCGGTTTCTACGAGTTATTTTGTGTGCGAGATGCCTATTTATGGACTATATCTTCTAGGTGTAGCTGGAATCAGGTGACTGCCTCTTAGCTATTAGCTATTAGCTATTAGAGTAATTGTAGAGTTCTGAGCTGATGATAGTATAGTTGTATACCTGCGAGATGACATCAACGCGGGATAGACGCATTTCCTTAACCTTTAAATCTTGGTTGTTGGGCTTCTTGGGTCAAGGACAAGTTGGATCTTATATCCTAGGTGGGATAGGTGCACATCACTCTTTCTAGGCTATAGTGTATAAAAAATAACTGCAAAATTGAAGAGTCAATATCTGGAGAAATTATTATTTGGGGGATTTTAAATGATTATTGTATGTTAATTTATAAATTATTAAAGATATACATAATTCTTTTGTATTCTTTTATATTAGTTGTTATTTCTCCTTTTCCTGGTTTATACTTTTCAGTTTTTCCTCCTTTGCGTAATTCACGGGAGTTCAAGGGTCAATGATAAAAAAGCTTAACTGATACCATTTTATAAGTAGAAAACAAAATTGCAGAAAACGCAAACAGAGGAAAGAAATATGATCATATTTCATTCATTGTACAGTAACTTGAAGGTGCCTATCCTATTATATAGGGAAAAAAACAAAATAACAATTCCACCAATAATAACCTTGGTGTGGTGCTACTTCTGAATTTTCACATTTCGTTGATGATTTCGATAGCCCATACTATCTTGGTAATGGTGACCATCCTGGACTAATTTTAGTCACTCATTCCCTCACTAGTTCGAATTTTAATTCTTGGTCTTGTGCTATGCTGATTGCACTCTTCTTCGTCCTTCTTAGGATAATCACTTGTTCACTGCCTATAATTGCTGCAATTCAATGGTGATTTCCTGGCTTCTGAACTCCGTTTTCAAAGATATCACTGATAGCTTGATGTATTTCATCAATGTTTACGATGTTTGGACAGATCTTCACAATCATTTCCATCAGGCAAACGGTCCCTGTTTCTTTCAATTGAAACTCTAGATATCATCTCTACAATAGGGTGCTCTCATTGTCAATGGCTACTACACCCGTTTGAAAACACTATGGGATGAGCTCCTCGACTACTTACCTTGTTATCCCTGCACTTGTGGTGCCTTACAATCCATCACCAATGATCGTGACCAGGACCACGCTATGCAATTTCCCATGTGATTAAACGACTCATACTCTTCGATCCAAGCTCAAATCCTTCTTATGGACCATCTTCCCTCCTTGTCCAAAGTTTTTTCTTTAGTGTTACGAGAGGAGCGTCAATGAGAGATTACTACCTTTGTTTCGGTGGTTCCAGATGCTTCTTCAATGCAACCCGTCGTTCCACCGCCATCTATTGTCGTTGCTACTGGTGCACCTCCACGTCGCCAGCGCTCCTTCTGTACTCACTGCAAAACAATGGACCACACAAAGGACAAATGCTTTAAGTTGCATGGTTACCCACCAGGGTATAAGCCCAAACCCACTAGGCTCAATCCCATTCTTCAATCTAACACTGCCATTTTATCTATCTCTGATTCACACTCTTCTTCCTCAACTTTCACACCACAACAATATCAACAATTGCTATCCCTTGTCTCACAACACCCTAACCCTCCTTCCCTTTCCTCTCAACCACCTTCCTCTAAGGTTGACATTAACCCCCATCGTTGCTAGCTTCAGTGGTGAGTTCTCTTCCACTTTACCTTCATCTTGCTGGGTTCTGGACACTGAAGCTACTCATCATGTCTCATGTGCTCCTTTGTCGTCAGTGTCTTCCCCTTCTGCTTTCGAATCAGTCGTGTCTCTTCCCTGCAAGGGTTCTTATATTCTATCTGAATGTTTGATTCTTCATGATGTTTTGTTTGTTCCTATTTTTTCATTTAATCTACTTAGCATCAGTGCCCTTACTCGTAATACTAACATTGTTGCTCATTTTTTGTCATCTCACTGTTTTCTCCAGGAGCGTCTCTCGGGAAAAACAATTGGGATTGCTAGTCTTGTCCACAGTTTATACATCCTTGACTCCACTGCCCTTCTCCCTACAAAACATGTCCTCCTCACCCCTTTGTTTTTTTGTAGTTTCAAAAAATGTTGCCCTCTGCACTCTAGATTAGGTCATTTGTCTCTATCAGTTTTATCTTCAATGAAACAATGCTTACATCTTGATTCCATTTCTGATACTTTACCTTATACTGTTTTCCCTTCAACAAAGCAAAAACATTTACCATTTTTATTGAATCCTAAATTGTCTCCTCATCCCTTTGATTTTATTCACTACGATATTTGGGGTCCAATTACCCTTGTATCCATTGATGGTTACTGTTTTTTCCTCACCTTTGGTAGATGATTTCACACGCTACACATGGATATTTCTTCTTAAACACAAATTTGAATTCTCCTCCATTTTTTCAAATTTTTACACTCTCATTTCCAATCTGTTTCACATGTCCATCAAGTCTGTTCGCTGTGATAATGCCTTAGAATTCAACACCCATTTCTTCTCTTTGAAAGGCATTGCACTCTTCCATTCATGTGTTGAAAGACCACACCAAAACTCCATGGTTGAACGCTAACATCAACATATACTTGATGTTGCGTATGCTCTCTATTTTCAATCCTAAGTTCCTCTTCCTTATTGGCAGGACTGTGTCTTAACATCTGTTTGTCTTATAAATTGAACTCTTTCCCCTGTCGTATCCAACAACACTCTTTTCACACTCCTTTACAAACAACCCCCTCAATACTCTCACCTTCGTGCATTTGGCTGCCTTTGTTATGCTTCCACCATTTCCCATTCTCGGCACAAGTTTTTTCCTCGGGCATTAGCTGCTGTTTTCCTTGGTTACCCACCCGGTTACAAAGGATATAAGCTTTTAGACCTCCAATCCAATTGTGTATTCATCTCTAGGGATGTAATTTTCCTTGAGTCTCTTTTCCTATTTATATCCTCTTCTCATGCCCCAACTCCTCTTAATTTCATTCCTATTATAACTCTTCCCACCCAGCTCACAATTAATGTGTCTCCATGTAGACCAACTAGAACCTCTCATCCTCCAAAATACACTTTGTCGGTACGCATTTCTATTATAAAATAACTGATATTAGTCCTGACATCACTGCTTATTATTTTCATCCCAAATTTGATATTCTTGACCTAGATATTTTTCTAGGAATATTAATATTTTTATCACTATTTTTCGAGTTACTCCGTCGTTATCCATTTATATCGTGAAATACCCGATTGATTATTATAATTTTCCCATAATTATCCTACATCAATTATGGAATATTTTCCTAAATTCTTATTTAACTCATTAAATTCCTAATTTAGCGGAGCGAGTTCTTACATTCAACCCACCTTTTAAGAATCTTGTCCGCAAAATTAGAGACATACTCGTCCCCAAACTCGGGTTCTTATATAATCCATTAAGTCTAGTCACAATAAAGTCTCATCATGAAAAAATAAATAATCATAATATGTATGGCTCATAACAACAATGAAATCTCTATGCCGTCCTCTTGCCTCTATTATTGTCCGTGTCACGGACGTTATCTCCTGAAAAATTTGCCCCATAAAGGGTGAGATTTCTAACAGAAAACTCAGTAAGACAAAGGGTCCTCAAGGAATCCTCCACCCCAAGCTCACTTACAGGTATAATATAAGTTCTAAATCAACGCAGGAAGTATATAAAGAAGCAAATTAATAACAAGATAAAGGGAATAACTATACCGGGCCATTTATAGTAGTAAACAATGCAGTATATAAAATGAGTGCACAATGCAGTATCATCATGGTAAAATAATATGATCTTCATATAATCATATATCTCAGTATCTATATACATATATATCATGTGATATATGCAAGTGCAGTTTAACTAGTCAGAGAACATAATAGGCATTACGCACGTCTGCAACCTACCAAAACATAAGGGTCGCTGCCTTATGCCTTACACACCAGGGTCGCTGCCTGATCGTGTAAGTAATCACCATCACATCTATACATTACATCATCAAACATATCCACATATATTAGATAAATATCAATTGCCTTACACACCAAGGCCGCAGTCTAATCGTGTAAATAATCAACATCACATCCATACATTACATCAATAATCATATCCACATATATCAGATAAATATCAATGCATAAACATTTTTATAAAAAGCATACCATGCACATCAAACCATCCTCCCATGGATTTTGGTGGAACAAACAGTGGATAAATTCAAGGACCAGAAGCTTACTTGTCAAGCTAAATCCTCCAACACCAACTCGTATCAACCGGGTCGTCCACAGACACACAGTCCGACAAGTAAAGCCTGCTTTATGTTAAAAATATTATTCATAATCTGATTCCCAAATTTCATTACATTTTGATTACGTTTTCTTTTTCGTTTAGTGACTTCAGGCTTCTCCCAAAGCCCTTAAGCACAAAACCGCATTTATTCTTTTTAAAACTTTAATTGTAAATATTTACCAAAAATTCCAATATTTTGACATGTTAAACTAGACATCCTAAGCTTTCTAACGACATATTTTATGTCTCAATTGGAGTTGTATAACTCCAATTATGTTTTTCGCAAAATGACTCCTGCAAACCAAATTTCCAACAACAAGGCAGCAGATTCAAATTCAAACCGAGATAAGTACACTTATCCAATGGATCTAAAATTTTATAGGATTGTATCCCTATGTGTTAGCTTTATATAGGTCCAAACCTCACTCAATTCGAAGCTTTGTAGCCCGGGATATCGCAACTTTACCAAACTAGTGTGTTGCTGTCACATTTACACTGGGTAATCGATTACCTCACAGTTATAATCGATTACCATCAGACATAATGCAGAAAACACGATTTTTCTATTGCAAAATTGCCATTTTAATGGCTTCCAATGGTTCTACTCCCATTTTTCCCACAAACAAAAGTTTAATACACCATATTACACTTAAATTAACAACCTTTAACTTAAATCATCAAAGTTTCTCTTTTTAACAACCCATAATTTCATCTTTTTCATAGAAAATAAAGAGGAAAGGGTAGAGTGTACCTAATGCTTGAAAATAGCAAAAAGAAGAGCCTTTGAAGGTCTTGCTACAGTTCCAAGCTACTGTCCAATAAGGTGCACAAATTTGAGCTTACAAGGTAGGTGTTTTCTTCACATAAGTTGGTTCTTGAAGCTTGAAAGTAGGTGAAAATGGCTCCAACTTCACAAAACACACAAGGATACACTCCTCACTCACCAAGGCAGCAAGCACACTCTTTCAAGATGCTCACTTTTTCATTAACTTCACAAACTCAAGGTGTTTACATGGGTGGAATGATCAATGATGAAGAAAGAATGAGTCTTGGTGCATTTTGTTGAAGAAAAGCTTTGTCTTTCATGAAGAACAAAGGGTGGCAGAGATGAAAGGATGAGAGGGTATATCTACGTGGGTGTTATAAATTCTGGTCTAGGGTTTAGTGTCATTAGCTATATATAGGTGCACTTACTTAAACTAACAATATTAGTTTAATTTGTTTCGCTCTTTGTTTAACTCTAAAATTTCATGTTCTTAACCTAGACATTTTTCTAGGAATTATCATATTTTTCTTGTAATTTTTCGAGACACTTCATCGGGTACGCATTTTATATAGCAAAATAGTTGGTATTACCCAAAATTTATTATTCTTAACCTATATATTTTTCTAGAAATATTCATATTTTATTTCTATTTGTCAGATTACTTCGCCGATATCCATTTATACCACAAAATACCCAATGTTTACACTTTCCTTCAGAAAAGTGACTAAATATTAATTATTATGCTCTTTCCATATTTATCAAAGTCAATTATGGAATTATTCCTAAGATTATAATTAAAATATTTAAATTCCTAATTTAGCGGTGTAGGTTCTTATACTCACCCCACCTTTTAAAAATTTTGTTCGCAAAATTAAAGATATACATGTCCCTAAATTCGGGATGTCACCGGAGAAGTTCGTCCTCCCACTCCCAAGTGCACTCCTCAGGAGTTCTACCTTACATTATCTCTAATCAATTATGTTCAATGGTATTTTGAATTCACTCACACCGTGAAAAGTATATATTCATGATGTGCTTTGTGATGTGCTCTGTCAAAGAGCACACACTCTCGACATTTCCTCCATTATTGGAAGGATCCACACAGTTTGACCATCCATTAGAGGATGATATGCAGTACTTATTTTCAATTGAGTGACGAAAACTCTTTGCAATGCACTCTAACACAAGAGGTGAACTTCGGCTACCGATCATTGACAATTCTCTCATGTACCCCATGAAGTTCTTACTATCACACTAATTTAACATTGAGCCAACAGCTCCGTGGAAAAGCTTGCCTTCCCAGGCATAATTGGGCAGACTTAATCGTCATGTCTAGGACAACCAAAATAGAGTCGAAGCAGATCTAAATCTTCGGTGGTCCGAGAGTAAGATCTCAGGTCACACCCACATGTAAGGATTACTCCCTTGAGGTATTTCCTCCAAATTGTTGAGACAATATGCTCTTTACTCTATACAAGTTTATATACTCGCTTGCACATGCTTCAATACTAGCATAGTGAAGTCGTAGCCACATCGATTAATGGTTCCCTAACTCAAGTTTTCATGACCTTGTGTCAATACCGATCCAACATCCCCACACAAAA